ATATATATATATATATATATATATATTTTTTTTTTTTTTTAGTTTACATTGCTGACATATAAATCACAGTCACAAAACAGTTAAAATTTAAATCAGATGTAGTACTTTTTTGTTGTTAGAGGAGTTTACATTGGGGATTTGCCTAGCAATCTAAGCCCATAGGAAGGGGTGTTCTCAGTCAGGAAAACAAAGTTAACAAATTTTTTTTTTTAATCTTGGCATTTTTACAATCATGTAGTTTTTTTGTTTGTTTTTTTCATTTGGAACTTTTACAGAACTTTGGAGCTCAGGGTCTTGTGTTCTGTTATCTCAGGATGAGACCAGATACCTCATTTAGTGGTTAATGTCACTGGTGTCTGTTAACGATTTTGAACTGAACAAACTGCTGTTAGAGATGCAGAAATCATTTTACAATGTGACATTTCATAGGTTTTGTTATTTATAAAAAGTTTTTCTATCAGAATCAGGAAACTAAGATTCTGCCTGGTACGACCCTGAATTCTCTGGGTCAGAAGTGATGTCACCTCCAGTGGAAAAGAGAAACCCAGTGAGGAGAAAGCGCATGGTCAAACTCGCCTGATGTGTCTCCTGCATGCTGATGCGGCCTACTTCACCTGCTCTTTGGGGCTCCCCTCCCTCTAGAGTGGAAGGTGGCAAATGGTGATGCTCTAGCTAACCTGCAGGATGAAGGGGGCAGGGCATGGAAATGCTGGAGACCCCTCTTTCCCTTGCCCTAGGAAAGAAGTTCTAGAGCCCCCAGGCCCTTACCTCTGAGTGTCGGAGATACACCACCAGGCCCAGGCCCAGCCGCCAAACACGTACTGTTTATAGTCAGAACCACAGCAGCCCCCTGGAGAGCAAAGCAAACCACTGCGGGTCAGTCAATTCCTGGGTTTGTCTCCCTCTACCCCAGCAGCAACTCTGGCCTTTTACTTGGTCTAAGGATTGAATCAGGGACTTCACACTGAGCTACATCCCCAGTTCCTTTTTAAATTTTTTATCTTGAGACAAAATCTTGCTACATTGGTGTTATAATTTACGTCTAAAATGTCCTCCAAAAGCCTTGCGTTCAGAGGTGGGGCTTTTGGGAGATTAGATCATGGGGGTGCAATAGCCATAAGTCCCCTGATGAGTTCAGAGTTTAATAAACTGTTAGGAGGTGAGGCCTGGTCTAAAGAGGCAGGTCACTGGCAGTGTGACCTGGAAGGCTACATTCTTGTCTCCAGGTCCTCTCTTATTTCTGCTTCCTGGCTGTCATGGGATAAGCAGCTTAGTGACTATTACAGCTGCTAAATTGGCCAGACTGGGCTTGAACTTGAGATCCTCCTCCCTAGGCCTCCCAGAGTGCCAGGATTACAGGCATGTGCTCTGCAGCTTGACAACAGCTATTGTTGGGTGACAGCTGCTGAAATTTAACATAAATAGGAGACAAGTTCTCCTTGACCCTAAGGGATTTAGAATCCAGTTTGTAGGCAATCTGCATAAAGGTTATCCAATGAATAACTCAGAATGTAAGTGTGTTATGGTTTATATATAGATGTCCCCCAAGAACCTTGTATGCTCATAGGTGGGGCTTTGGGAAAAAGACTATACCATCAGGTCGCTATAGCTCACTTGCTGTTAGGAGGTAGGGCTTGGACAAGACAGGCCAGTTGCCTGGGGCTTTACCTGGAAGGGTGTATCTCCCTCCCTGGCTCAGCCCTTCTCTGTCCGCTTTCTGGCTGTCATGATGTGAGCAGCTTTTTGTCTACCATGCCTCTCTGCCATGCTGTTTCTGCTCTGGGAGTTGGCCCATCATGGACTACAAATGTCAGTCAAAATAAATCTTTTCTTCTTTAAGTTGTGGGCATGGGCATTTTATCTAGTGCGGAGAAAGTAACTAAGACAGAGAGCTTCAGAGGACAGAATAGGTCAGTGAGGAGGGGTGCTGTGGAAAACCTTACATTTTTCATTCAACTATTCGTTCATTCAACAAACAAGTAGTTTTTCTCTGTGCAAGGGATATATATAGAGAGGAAGATACTGTTCCCAAGAAGAAACTAAGAGGGAGTGGTATTTCTTGGGCTGACCATAACACCATAGGGCATACCTGCTATCACTCTTTCACTCTCAATTTCTCAAATGCACAGGGCTTCTAAACTTGGAGAGCTGGTATCTAAGACTATCATTAGGAGCCAATCTAGTTTTTTGGGGCTGCCACTGAGTATAGGGTGCTAATACAGGTTGAACACTCCTAATATGAACATGTCACATGCTCCAAAATCAAACCTTTGTTTTTGTGGCACTAGGATTGAACCCAGAGGAACTCTACCACTGAGCTACATCTTTGAGATAGGGTCTTGCTAAATTGCCCCTGCTGACCTTGAACTCATGATCAGCTTCAGCATCCCAAGTCGCTGGGATTACAGGTATACAACTACCACAACCAGCCAAAACAGAAAATTCTGAGTGTCAAAAGGATGTCAACACAATTGGAAAATTCCACACCTGACCTCATGTGAACAGTTGCAGTCAAAATACTATATAAAATCACCTTCAGGCTATATTCAGGCTATGTGTATAAAGTGTATATGAAACAAATGAATTTAATGTTCAGACTTGGGTCTCATCCCTAAGCTATCTCATTATGTATATGTTGCTTTTTTTTTTTTTTTTTTTTGGTACCACGATTGAACTCAGGACCTCGTGCTTGCAAGGCAAGCGGAGGAACCACTGAGCTAAATCCCTGGCCCTTTATTATGTATATATATATATATGTGAATATCCCAAAGTACAAAAAAATTCTGAAATTTAAAACACTTCTGGTCCAGGGCATTTCTGATAAGGGTTACTCAACTTGTAGCCATACCACAGGTCCAAGATCAAAGAACAACTCTTTAGTGTGGGTACTCTGTTTCTCTGGGGTGGAAATCCCTATGCACAGGGCTGCTGTTCAGAGTAAACCTTTTTAGGCTTTTGTTTTGGGAGGTGTTGCAAGAGAGGCCTCTGAGGACAAGCAGTCAATTTGAAACCTAAACCATCTTTGGATCAAGTGAAACTGGAGAAGGGCCAAAAACTACAGCTTATTTCACATCTTCTGTCCTGGTGAAGGCTGGGGCATAGCTGCCTCTGGCCAGCTCCAGGGACTTCTCAAGGTGTTGTGGGAGGAAATGGGAGAAGAGGGGGTGAAGGGTACCTTTCATATAGCCTCTGACCTTGGGAGCAGGCTGCCAAAGCTCAAGTTAGGCTTTGGCCAAGGGCAAGAAGCCAGGATCCAGGGGCAACAACAGGAAGCTCTGCCCTTAGCAAGCTCCTCCCCTGGAGTGCACTTTCTTCAGAACTTCCTGGTCACCCAGCCTGAGCACCACCCACTAAGGGGACAATTGGATGCCTCTTCCTTGACCTCCCTAGCTTTCACTCATTTTGAGATCTACAAGCTTCTCTTTTTCCTCACTTTTTCCTTTTGTTTTGTTTGTTTGTTTGTTTTTAGTACCAGGGATTGAACTCGGGACCTTGTGCTTGCAAGGCAGGCAACAGAACCACTGAGCTACGTCCCCGGCCCTTGTTTGTTTTTTTGAGACAGGGTCTCACTATGTAGCTCAGGCTGAACTCAAACTCACAGCAATTCTCCTGCCTCAGCCTCCAGAGTGCTGTGCACCACCATGGATGGGTTTATCTCACCTTTGCTAACCCAGCTTGCTTTCCCTTGTTTTGTCTTCAAATCAAGCTGAAATAACATAAAATACCTGGGCATAACCTCTGCTTCACCCTCTGCTCCTCCAAGGACAAAGCCCATTATTGCCCTCTCCAGAGCACTCTCTTCTCTTCTGTGCTTCCCCCACCTTCTTTCAACAGGAAAAGAAGACTACAAAAAAGACCCACTCTATTTTACTTTATTTTTTGAGATAGGGTCTTGCTTTGTAGTTCAGGCTGGCCTTGAACTTGTGGTGATCCTCCTGTCTCAGCCTTCTGAGTGCTGGGATTATAGGCATGTGCCACCATGACTGGCCACTTTTTTTTTTTTCTTTGGTACTGGGGATCGAATTCAGGACCTTGTGCTTGCAAGAGCATGCATATCCACAGGGCCAGGGATTTAGCTCAGTGGTTCCACCGCCTGCCTCTGGAAGTGCAAGGTCCCGAGTTTTGATCCCTGGCACCTAAATAAATAAATAAATAAAAAGTTCAGCTTTATTGTCTCATCTGTGGGTGGGGGGGGAAGCACATCCACTGAGCTAAATCCCCCGCCTCACTCTGGTTTTTTTAAACTAATGATTGAACCTAGGGCATCTGCTCTGAGCTAGTACATTCCCAGCACCCCCTTATTACCTATGATCCTCCTGCCTTAGCCACCCAGAGTGCTGGTCTTATAGGCATCTATCACTATGTACAGCTGTTTTAGCCTATTTTGAGTCACAAATCCTGTCCAGCAAAGCCCAAAGATTTCTCCTAAAAATGTTCATAAATGGGGGTAGGGATGTAGCTCAACAGCATAGCACCTGCTTGGCAAGCTCAAGATCATGAGTTCTGCTCCTTGATAACAAAACAACAAAAACAAAATGTTCAGATCAGGGTTGTAGCTCAGTGGTTCTGCCACCTGCTTTGTAAGCACAAGGTCCTGAGGTCGATCCCCAGTACCAAAACAAAAGACGTTCATAAATGTAGTTGGGCTCATGCCTATAATCCCAGCATTTGGGAGGCTAAGCCAGGAGGATCACCATGAGTTCAAGGCTAGCCTGGGCTACACAGTAA